GTAACGCTAATTTAGAATTTTAATATTCTAGAAAGTGAATTTTGGAGAAGATCAAGCTAGGAGCTTCAATTAGGATTTATCCCGAGGTAAGTACTATGTCAACCAAATTTCATGCTTTTCTCATATATATTTATTTGTGACTAGTTATTTTAGATCATTTGAGTATTTGATAGTTAATGAGATTTTACGTATCAATTGTGATTGTGAATTATATATATTTGAGATTTGAGTATTTTGTATTGGGTGATATTTTGAGCATTTGAATTTACTTATGAATTGTTATTGGATTGAGATATGAGATTTGAGCTATTTATGAAGTATTCTATATTTTGATCATGTTGGGAAATTTTGAGTTTAAAGTTTAAAGGGATCAATTAACTCTTATTTTGAAAATGTATGCCTATGTACAAAATGAGATTTTGGAAGTAGTTAGAGATCAAGATATATATTTTGAACTACAAGGTGAAATTGTGTTTTGAAATCCAAGGATAATAATCCTTATTCTAAAACTCTATCTACGAATAATAGATATAGAATTTTTGAGAAGTAATCAAGATAAAAAGAACCTTTCAATGTAAGGGCATCGCGGGAGAAATCCGTGGTGTCGGTGTTCTCCACGACCTTGACTGTGGAGAGTAATTAGGGCTGCTAATACTTGTTTACTCATAAAGAGTTGGGATGTTGGTGTCTCCACGACCTTGACTGTTGATGTTGCTGTCTCCACGACCTTGACTGTGGATGTTGCTGTCTCCACGACCTTGACTGTGGATGTTTGTGTCTCCACGACCTTGACTGTGGATGTTGGCAGTAAAATTCGGGCAAAACCGCAAAAGACCATGTTATTCAGTGGTAGTGGTAACCTAGTCACTTCTATAGGGTAATCCCTTTTGGTGGAGTGGGGGGACGTTGACGTCCGAACTACTTAGGCTTCTTACTACCCGTAGGGCTTGGAATCCCTTTTCCGGGGGTGTGCACACTTAAGGTAGAGGTTCAGTTTCCTCAAGTTAGAATTGGTACCGGCAAAAGTCCCAGGGTGGCCGTACATAACAACGGACCATACGGCTCAATAAAATGTTGAGCACCACCCTTCAAATGTTTTAGGAGTTTAATGCAATTACGAAGTATATTTTAAGACATTACTAGAGTACAAATTATATTCGGATTGAGGTTTTGAGGAGAATTATATTTGACTGGATTGGATTTGAGTTGTTGGATTATTGGATTGCATTATATTTGGATTGAATTTGAGATGGTTGAGATTATTAAATTATTTGTGGATTTCCAAAGTAATACTTCTGGATTTGATTTGATATGATTATGTTGAATATTGATTACGAGTATTTGAACGTATTTGATATTTGGGTTTTACATATGAAATATGTTTTGGAATATATTTACGAGAATTTTGGTGGTTTATGTATATTGAGATTTTAGAATTATTATGATTTGGAAATATGTACTTATATTTGGAATATTATTTTGCATATGATTTTGTGATGAGAAGTTTGTATAAAGTGTTTCATAAGGTTTCCTCCCAAATGTTTTCACAAAATGATATATATGTATCAAACATGATTATATATTTTACAGGGTTGGGTGGGCCTTACTTAGCATTTCCAGCTAATTTTTCTTTCTTTGCGTTTTTTTTTGTACTTTATTTGTGCAGGAATTGAGGATCATGTTGAAGTTGATTTTGAGAGCTTCCGCTAGAACACATAGACTAAAGTGATTGAATAATTTATTTTAGTCTTAATTTTATAGAATTGTAGTTGAATAGTTAATTATGAAAAAATTTAATTTGTTGGTGGTGGATAGCATGTGCACTCGGTCATGTAAGAACCGCGTGTGGCGGTAACGCCTCTGTTTCCCTTTGAATTTTCCGCTGCAAGACTCTGGTGTTTTCAAATAAATCTTTACCGAAATGTATTTTTGGGTGGGAAATTTGGGAGTGTTACAAAATGTTTCACGTGGCAAGCGTTGGTCATATGCAGAAATGCTGCTTACTTGGCGGTCCCGTGCCATCCATTGAATTTAGATGTGATAAAAAGTCCTTCGTTCTCAAATATTATACCTTACTTTCTGAAATGGCTAAACTAAGGGGTCTATTGTATCCAGAATTATAGAATTATCTGTTATGATCACTACAAAAAAACACGCCTTTAGTCGATGAATTTCATACTACACTCAAATTCGAACTGCTTACAATTTTAAAAAAATCAAACCTGTACACGATTAGAGAAATTGAAATTACTGTACTCAAATGTTGTAGCTTAGTTTGAAAAAAAAATTAAACCATCTGCTACATTAATCATACTTACATACTATCTGCTACAATTATACGTGAGGTTTGATTTTTTGTTATTTACATGGATGGAAGGGGGTGTCACAGTTATTAATTAAGAAAAGTGTATTTACTTGATTGATATTAATTGATAAAGTAAGAATAAATTAAGAATGGTTTAAATCCAAACAAACTTTATTGAATTTAGTATAAGACAATTTTAGTGGGGAAATTTGGGGAAAGGAGTAATAGTTTAAGGCGTTGAAGTATATATACACTGTGAGTACATTTTGTCTTAAAGTAAACGTAGCCGAGATATGATGCTGGACGAACAGCTCACTCCAGGTCGTGGGTTTGAATCCATTTTGAGCATTCTTTTTTATGAAAAATTTCTACTATACAAGTATTACATGAGCCAAAGAAATGATAAATTAAAATAATATATGAGAGAGAAAGTGACCTGCTATTACAAGTACTCATCATCATGTATTTGATTCTTTTTTTAAAGTAGATGAGCTTATGTGATGTTTTTATAGTAAGTGGATTTAGGTGATAGTTCTGAATTAGTAGAAGGGTCTATTTGACCCTTATACAATGAGTATTTTTGTTACACTAATAGTTTTCAAATTCTGGTATAACTAGTACAGAGTATTTAATACATAGTACTACATATTTTTTTAATTAAACTTTACAAGTATTGAGTTCTTAGTATTTCATTTGATTTCTTATATTTCATTTACTACTACTTACTAATATAAATATGTACTCAAAGGTAATTATTTTTAAAGAATATTTTGTCATATATATTTTTTGCATCGGCCCGCGGGGCAACCCGTTTAACCCGCGGGTTATGTGGGTTGGGTTAGGGTTGCAGAAATTCTGACCCGTCATTAAACGGGTTGGCCTGACCCAACCCACATAAAGCATAATCCGTTACGGGCCGGGCTGGGTTGGGTCGAGTTGGCCCGTTTGACAATTCTAAGTACGGGGATAGGGGGTCCCCTTGCCGAAGCCCCCCTACCTGGAATAATCGGACCCAAAAGCTCCCTGTCAAACTGAATGAAATAGCTGACTGACGAAACACATACCATTATCAGCTGATGATCCATCTTTTATCAAAATTCATTCGTGTCGTAATCTTCCTCAAAAAATCCCAACTAACTCAATCGTAAGCCTTACTCATATTTAATTTTAAGGATGCAAAACCCTCTTTTCCGTGTTGTTTCTTCTTTAGAAAATGTCGTGTCTCAAACTCTCCCCAATAGTGATCCAAACACACCTTTCATCCTATTTGCCAACACTTTTGAATTTTTTTTATAAACCACGTTATAAAGCGTTATCGGTCTCCAATCCCCTAACTTCTCACGTTTATCCTTATTTGGTATTATGTTGGACAAGTTTAGTTCCTTAGACATTATACATGTCTCGAAAATCCCTCTACATAGTTGTACAACCTCCGGTCCCACAATATCCCAATATTTCTAAAAAAGCCGAATTCATGCCATCCGACCCTGGAGCTTTCTTAGGGTGCATGTCAAAAAATTGCCTCTTAACCTCCTTCGGAGTAATTGCTCTAATGCTCATGTTAATTTTCTGAGCATTTTTCTGATTCTACTCTCTGTTAATTTTCCGAAAATGTCTCAACTCTTCCATCCACTCCTAACGCTCATGTTCAGCAAAAAGAGTAGTAAAATAATCCCTAACAATCGCTGCCACTTCTCCTCTATCTATGACCCACACTCCACCATCCGTGTGAAGACCAAACATTTTATTTCTCCTACGCCTAGCCTTTACAGCATTATGAAAAAAGAGGGAATTGATATCTTCATCTACGGGTGGACTCGGTTCGGGCCGGGCCCGGTTCGGGCCTTGAACCGGCCGGGCCTCGGTTCAAGGTAGGGGGGGGGGCCCGGAACCGGCCCGGGTCACCCCCGGGTCCGGTTCGGGCCGGGCCGGGCCTGGTTCGGTTCTATATAATTTTTTTTTGGGTTTTCCTAATCAAACCCCTACCCTCCCCCTCAACCCCAAACCACCTCAAATGACCCAAAATACCCAATCCAACCTAAAAACTTAAAAAAAATTCAAAAAAAAAAAAAATAAATCCGACCCGGACCGGGCCCGAACCGGCTGGACCGGGCCCGAACCGGCCGGGCCGGTTCACCAAAATGAAGGCCCGAGCCCGGAACCGGTAGCCACCGGGCCGGGTCGAACTGAACCGCCCATGGGCCGGGCCGTCGGGTCGGGCCGGTTCAAACAGTGACCGGGTCGGGCCGGTTCTGGTTCGGGCCGCCCGGCCCGAGTCCACCCCTATCTCCATCTTTCAGCCAAAATTCCTTTAGGTGCTGTTCTGTTCGTCTTATTCTTATTACTTATTGCTTATTCTTATTTTATTCAGATCAGATCAGATCAGAAAATTCAGATCAGATCAGATCAGAAAAATTCAGATCAGATCAGATCAGATCAGAAAAATTCAGATCAGATTAGATCAGATCAGAAAGATTCAGATCAGATCAGGAAGATTCAGATCAGATCAGACCAGATCAGAAACATTCAGATCAGATCAGATCAGAAAAGTTCAAACATGATTTATCATTTTTATTATTATATTAAATATTAATTATTATTATTAATATTGTTATTACTATTATGATTATTATTATATAATTATTATTAATAATATTAATAATAATATGATAAAAAAGAAATTAATAATAGTTATTGTTGGGATATATTATCCCGGCCTATTACTGTTCAGGAGCCCAAGACATTATCCAGTACGGAGCCCGAGCAGTTAGGCCCATTTCGGCCCATTAGGCCCAATATTGGCCCGTTTGGCCCATTAGGGTGGGGAGCCCCTTCTCTCCTTTCCCCTATAAATAAGGAGCTTAGCCTCCATGTAAAGGATCTTTCCTTCTTCCTTCTCCCTCCTGAGTTAGCTTACAAGACTCCATTAATGGGAGCTCAAATTGTATTGTGTAATGGTGAGGAGAGTCCTAATGAGAATTGAGAGGGCTTGGACATTAGCCTAAAAAGTCCCGTGGTTTTCTCCCTTTCGGGTTTCCACGTAAAAACTGAGTGTTCATACATATACTTACTATATCGTGTTGGATTAAACTCAACACTGGCGTCAACACTGGCGCCGTCTGTGGGAATCTGTCCAAAAAGATTCATGTGTTCTACACAAAAATTCATAAGAAGTGGACTGATTTCACCAAAAAAGAAGAAAAAATTCGAGGGAAAATGATTCTGGGGAGCGAAGAAGCTACGGATTCTGGAAGATCAAATCTGGTTTCTCTTTTTGCAGATCTGGATTGAGGCCGCCGGAGCTGCCGCACCGCCGTCGTTCCCGCCGCCATGGACCTCCCGGTGCGTCCAGCTGCACCAGGTGAAGCTCGCGGCCGCGTCCCGGGTCTCGCCGCTGCGTTTCTAGAAAAACGCCGCCGACAGCAGAGTCGCCCATGGCTCGTTGTTGGCTCCACCAACCACCGTCTGAGCCGCCTCACTGCCGCCTGTCATCGGCGGACAATAGCTTGTCACCCGTCCACACGGCTGATAGTCGTTCGAGCCTCCGCCTCGTTGCTAACGCGACCTGAAAAAATATCCGCCATTAATGGCGGCTTGGAGCTTAAGGGAGGCACACATATGAAGCCCCGCCGGGCCCCACCAGGGTCGACGTCCGTCGCTTCCTTTGCGCCTCGGCAACTGCCCGTACCGCCGACGGTAGGTGGCCAGCCCAAACAGTTTGGCCTCGGGTCAGTGAGAGGATGTTCCAGCTCCCTGTCCAAAAGATACGGAGCGCTGCGAACCGATCGAAGGTCTTGGTTCCCAGAAGGCCACGTCCGAATTCCGAAGGATGGATGATAGCAGCGGATACAACTTGGAGCAATTCTGACCAAAGTCAAAGTTGACAAGGGGAGACCATAACTGACTCCAAAGCCCTGCTGGCCGAAGCTTGCTTTATCTCCAAAAAAGCTAAGTGCATATTCTTACTTTTAAATTGGTACACTTAATTGTTAATAGTTTAAACTATTAGTAATGTTAGTTTTTTTATCACCATTATTTATTAGGGAATTAAAATGTCCCGAATTAAATAATGCCGAGCGACGCTCTAGTGATAATTAGTTTCACCGTCATTTTAATTTAATGACTGGTTGTTGTGGGCCCGTCGGCCCGCTCCTGATCGGCTTTAATTAGCGAACGGAGTGTACCTGAATGGCCTTTGATAGGATAATATCATTGCTATTACCTGTTATATCACTATTATTTATTAGGGATAAAATGTCCCGAATTAAATAATGTGGAGCAAAGCTCTAGTGATGGTTGGTTCAGCCAACATTTTATTGAATATTTAATTTCTTGTGGGCCCGTTAGCCCACTCTCGATTAGCTTGATTAAGCGATCCGAGCGTCTCCAGTAGGGCGATGCCCCGACGACGCATTTTAATTTGAGGGTTGCACGTTAGTCCGCACGGCACTACGTGCCCGAGCGACGATCGTACCCTAGTACCACTTGCGCAACTAGGCGAAGTGACTGTGCCAAACGCGGCCTGTGGGGCCCGAAGGCACCAAAGCGCTCAACCTCCTTTTTCCAAGGGCAGTGCGACTAACTTGGGTCTGAGTTTGAAAACTCACAGACCGATGAATATTTCTATGTGACGTCCGGCGGGCTGCTAATTGGCCCCGCCGCGAGCTGCTATGTCCATTAACCCCGCACGATGAGCCGGGCCGAGGGTCACGATGACCCATAGGCCGGTAACCGTGGATGTTAAAAAAAAAAACCATGCAGATGGTTATGTGTGTATACATATTGTCGGGCCGTGCGGCCCGTTACCATGCTTATTGCTGCGCAGCTGAAGCCACTCGACGCGCTCGAGCAAAATGATTAAAAGACGCTCGGCCTAAGTCTCAAAGACGTTCAGGGCCAGCTAAAGTGGAGACCATCACGGCTGAGAGCCGATGGACGAGCATCTCCACCCAGAGGTCGAGGGCCAAGAGGAGATCACCACGGTTGAGAACCGTGGGACGAGCATCTCCACCCAGAGACCGATGGCCTAGGAAGAACACCTAGAGGCCGAGGGTCTAGAGGGAGCTGCCACGGCGGAAGACCGTGAGACGATCATCCATCATTCAGAGGCCGAGGGCCTAGAGGAGACCATCACGGCCGAGGGCCGTGAGACCATCCTGATTTTCAGGTCGGCCTCTCATTGCCGACATCATCATGTCACGACCGGCCTCTCGGCATGACGTGATTATCATATTTGAAGACCGGCCTCGTCCCCGCGCTGCGCGGATGAGGACCGTTGCTTGGTTCTGTCTGATCGCCCCCCAGGCTGACACTCTTACATGGACACCGACCCCCTGGTACGGTGCCATTATCTTTCGAAGACCGGCCTCATCCTTGCTCCTCGTCGATGAGGACCGTGGCTTGCTATCTCAGATCGGCCTCACATTGCCGATATCGTTATATCACGACCGGCCTCTCGGCTCGGCGTGCCTATCTTTTGAAGACCGGCCTCGTCCCCACATTGCGCGGGTGAGGACCGTTGCTGGATTTCAGACCGGCCTCTAATTGCTGACACTGTCATATCATGTTCGGCCCCTCGGCCCGGCGTGATTATCATGTTTGAAGACCGGCCTCGTCCCCGCCCTCGCGGACGAGGACCGTTGCTTGATTTTCTCAGATCGGCCGCTCATTGCCGACACCATTATACCACGACCGGCCTCTCGGCTCGGCGTGCTTATCATATTTGAAGACCGGCCTCGTCCCCGCCCTCGCGGACGAGGACCGTTGCTTGATTTTCTCAGATCGGCCGTTCATTGCCGACACCATTATACCACGACCGGCCTCTCGGCTCGGCGTGCTTATCTTTTGAAGACCGGCCTCGTCCCCGCCACCTCGCGGACGAGGACCGTTGTTTGATTCTTTCAGGTCGGCCTCTCACTGCCGACACTATCATGTTATGTTCGGCCTCTCGGCACGACATATTTATCTTCTGAAGATTGGTTTCATCCCCGCGCTGCGTTGGATGAGAGCCGTTGCTCGGATATTTCGGCCTGACCGGACACTGTTGCCATCTCCGTTATCAGGACCGACTGCTCAGCGACATTATGATCATTGTTTGTCGGCTCCCAATGTCGACCTTTTCTTGAGTTAGCGATCGGACTCACCCCTCCCCTCCAGGAGGGTGACCATCGCCTTCGCATGACGACCAGCTATTCTATCGCCTCGTCATTATATTCGTTCGCCATGCCACCACCATTATGTGTGACATCCCGTGATCCCTGCGAGTTTCTTGGATACCGAATGTCTTCTTCGATGTAGGAAGATCGGTAGGACCATGGACCAGGGACGGACAAAGAAGAGCTAGGGAATCTCGATGTAGATAAACCTGTTCCTCCTTGCGAGTTTTGCGGATACCGAACGTCTCTTCGAAGCAAGAGCGCCGGTAGGACCAAGAACCAAGGACGAACGAAGAATATAGATTGCCTCCCTCAAACAAAACAAAAAAAAAAGATGGGGAGAAGAGGAGGGTAGCTCCTATGTGGAAGGGAATCTTGCCCGGGCGTGCCAGATCTTCTCCCACCGCCGAAGACGAACGCCTCTCGATGTAGAGGTTAGTAGAGACGCGGAGGGGGCTAGACGAACCAAGGGAGCTTTGCCAAGATAAACCTGTTTATCCCACAATGACCATGGATCGATGGACGTGGGATAACAAAGTCGGGAACCCGTGAGGGTAAACCAGTTCGTCCCTGCGAGTTCCTTGGGTACCGAACGTCTTCTTCGAAGCAAGAGACGCCGGTAAGACTAAAAGGACCACGGACGAACAAAAAAAAGGGGGAATCTCGATGTAGATAAACCTGTTCCTCCTTGCGAGTTTCGAGGATACCGGACGTCTCTTCGAAGTAAGGACGCCGGTAGGACCAAGAACCAAGGACGAACGAAGACTAAAAGACTCCAAAAAAAAAAAAAAAAAAAGATGCCAGAAGAGCACGGAGCAAAGAATGATTTTATCCCTCGGCGCTATTGGCCGGGAAGTACAAACTGAAAAACATATGTAAAGAATAATTACAAAACTTAAGTACGAAGAATGAAGTGGCCGACGACGATCGGCTAACATCAGGTTTTCTTTTGCCTCGAACGACGATTAGCCCCCCAGATCAGGTAGAAGGGACATCGCCCAGATTTATTTCAGGCTCACCATTCCTTCCCGGATGGAGTCCTGGCAGACGATCGGCTTCTCACAGCCAATCAGGAGAGAGACTTGACACATCACCAGCACGGCCGAGGGCCGTGAGACGATTACCACTCACCGACAGGCCGAGGGCCATGAGATGATCATCACTATTTTTCTGCATCACGATCGGCCCCTCAGCGCCATCGTGTCCAGATTCACGGTTCGGCTCGCCCATTTCCCTCCAGGATGGCGAAGGACGTCTTATGCAGTGCGATCGGCCCCTCAGCGCCATCGTACCTGGCTTCACGGTTCGGCTCACCCATTCCCTCCAGGATGGCGACGACCGTCTTATGCGGCACGATCGGCTTCTCAGCGCCATCGTGTCTCTTTCACGTTCGGATCGCCCCATTCCCTCCAGGATGGCGACGAACGTCTTATGCAGTGCGATCGGCCCCTCAGCGCCATCGTACCTGGCTTCACGGTTCGGCTCGCCCATTCCCTCCAGGATGGCGACGACCGTCTTATGCGGCACGATCGGCTTCTCAGCGCCATCGTGTCTCTTTCACGTTCGGATCGCCCCATTCCCTCCAGGATGGCGACGAACGTCTCTTATGCAGCACGAACAGCGCCCCAGCGCCATCGTGTCTGGTTCACGTTAGGGTCGCCCATCCCCTCCAGGATGGCGACGAACGTCTCTTATGCAGCACGATCAGCGCCCCAGCGCCATCGTGTCTGGCTCACGTTAGGGTCGCCCCATTCCCTCCAGGATGGCGACGAACGTCTTATGCAGTGCGATCGGCCCCTCAGCGCCATCGTACCTGGCTTCACGGTTCGGATCGCCCCATTCCCTCCAGGATGGCGACGACCGTCTTATGCAGCACGATCAGCGCCCCAGTGCCATCGTGTCTGGCTCACGTTAGGGTCGCCCATCCCTTTCAGGATGGCGACGAACGTCTCTTATGCAGCACGATCAGCACCCCAGCGCCATCGTGTCTGGCTCACGTTAGGGTCGCCCATCCCTTTCAGGATGGCGACGAACGTCTTTATGCAGCACGATCAGCGCCTCAGCGCCATCGTGTCTGGCTCACGTTAGGGTCGCCCATCCCTTTCAGGATGGCGACGAACGTCTCTTATGCAGCACGATCAGCGCCCCAGCGCCATCGTGTCTGGCTCACGTTAGGGTCGCCCATCCCTTTCAGGATGGCGACGAACGTCTCTTATGCAGCACGATCAGCGCCCCAGCGCCATCGTGTCTGGCTCACGTTAGGGTCGCCCATCCCTTTCAGGATGGCGACGAACGTCTTTATGCAGCACGATCAGCGCCCCAGCGCCATCGTGTCTGGCTCACGTTAGGGTCGCCCATCCCTTTCAGGATGGCGACGAACGTCTCTTGTGCAGCACGATCAGCGCCCCAGCGCCATCGTGTCTGGCTCACGTTAGGGTCGCCCATCCCTTTCAGGATGGCGACGAAGGTCTTTATGTAGCACGATCAGCGCCCCAGCGCCATCGTGTCTGGCTCACGTTAGGGTCGCCCATCCCTTTCAGGATGGCGACGAACGTCTTTATGCAGCACGATCAGCGCCCCAGCGCCATCGTGTCTGGCTCACGTTAGGGTCGCCCATCCCTTTCAGGATGGCGACGAACGTCTCTTATGCAGCACGATCAGCGCCCCAGCGCCATCGTGTCTGGCTCACGTTAGGGTCGCCCATCCCTTTCAGGATGGCGACGAACGTCTTTATGCAGCACGATCAGCGCCCCAGCGCCATCGTGTCTGGCTCACGTTAGGGTCGCCCATCCCTTTCAGGATGGCGACGAACGTCTTTATGCAGCACGATCAGCGCCCCAGCGCCATCGTGTCTGGCTCACGTTAGGGTCGCCCATCCCTTTCAGGATGGCGACGAACGTCTCTTATGCAGCACGATCAGCGCCCCAGCGCCATCGTGTCTGGCTCACGTTAGGGTCGCCCATCCCTTTCAGGATGGCGACGAACGTCTTTATGCAGCACGATCAGCGCCCCAGCGCCATCGTGTCTGGCTCACGTTAGGGTCGCCCATCCCTTTCAGGATGGCGACGAACGTCTTTATGCAGCACGATCAGCGCCCCAGCGCCATCGTGTCTGGCTCACGTTAGGGTCGCCCATCTCTTTCAGGATGGCGACGAACGTCTCTTATGCAGCACGAACAGCGCCCCAGCGCCATCGTGTCTGGTTCACGTTAGGGTCGCCCATCCCTTCCAGGATGGCGACGAACGTCTCTTATGCAGCACGATCAGCGCCCAGCGCCATCGTGTCTGGCTCACGTTAGGGTCGCCCATCCCTTTAAGGATGGCGACGAACGTCTCTTATGCAGCTCGTCTGCCCCTCGGCGCTGACATGCCCGGTTTATCGATGAGAGCCACCGCTTTCTATCACATCTCACATTTCTTCTCTCATACATTGCACTCATACATTACATGCATTCATGCATTCATGCATCATAAGTCATACATTCATACATACACACGTGCATCATGTTTTGACAGTACCGCGACATCGGTTTGTAGATGCATGGACCTCTAAGCTTCTCCCATTGGAAAGCTCGAGTCAGGGTCCTCTACTCTCGCCTGATGCATTCAGGGGGAGCGTGCCCGTGGAGGAGCACCTTTCGCCCAACCCCGTCGGGAAGGGGGGGGTGCCTCACCGGCAGATTACGTTCAGGAGTGCAGACACTCACTCATATATTATGATTATGTGAAGACACAGTTTCCAGCAAGACAGAGGAAGAGCGCAGGCAGAGTATATTTTCTCGAGCAGATTCGCGAGCTCACTACTCAAGAAACTGGGGGACTTGTGTTGGGATATATTATCCCGGCCTATTACTGTTCAGGAGCCCAAGACATTATCCAGTACGGAGCCCGAGCAGTTAGGCCCATTTCGGCCCATTAGGCCCAATATTGGCCCGTTTGGCCCATTAGGGTGGGGAGCCCCTTCTCTCCTTTCCCCTATAAATAAGGAGCTTAGCCTCCATGTAAAGGATCTTTCCTTCTTCCTTCTCCCTCCTGAGTTAGCTTACAAGACTCCATTAATGGGAGCTCAAATTGTATTGTGTAATGGTGAGGAGAGTCCTAATGAGAATTGAGAGGGCTTGGACATTAGCCTAAAAAGTCCCGTGGTTTTCTCCCTTTCGGGTTTCCACGTAAAAACTGAGTGTTCATACATATACTTACTATATCGTGTTGGATTAAACTCAACAGTTATAATATTTTAATATAATAATAGTAATATAAATGCAATTGTTAAGAAGACTATTATTATTATTATTACAATATTATAATAATAATAATATGATTAATATTATTATAATATTATATTATAATTATATGTAATTATAATTATAATTATAATTATAATTCTTATAATTATAAGTATAATTCTTATAATTATAAGTATAATCAATTGTAATTATTATAATTATATCTATAATTAATTATAAATATAATTGTAATTAATTATAATTATAATAATTATAATTATAATTACAATCATAATTATAATTATGATTATAATTATAATTACAATATAATATTATAATAATATAATACTAATTATAATGATAATCATATTATTATTATATTATTGTAATAATAATATTATTATATTATTGTAATAATAATATTAATATAATAATATCGTTATAATAATATTAATTGTATTTATATTACTATTATTAAATTATAATATTATAATTAATGTTAATATAATTATAATTATTATTAATTATAATTATAATAATTATAACTATACTTCTAATTATATTTTTATAATAATTTATGATTATAATTATTATTTTTATTATAATTATTAATATTAATATTATTATTATTACTATTGTAATTATTTTACGGAGTAATTATAATAATATTGATAACTATAGTTACAATTATAGAGATAAATATTGTAATTATAATTACAATTATAATTATAATATTATTTAAATTATATTTGTAATTGCAATTATAATAATTATAATTATAATTATAATTATAATTATAATTATAATTATAATTATAATTATAATTATAATTATAATTATAATTATAATTATAATTATAATTAATTATAATTATAATTATAACTATAATTATAATTATAATTATAATCATAGAAATATTCGAATCAGATCAGATCAGAAAGATTCAGATCAGATCAGAAGGATTCAGATTAGATCAGAAACATTCAGATCAGATCAGACCAGATCAGAAACATTCAGATCAGATCAGAAAGATTCAGATCAGATCAGATCAGATCAGAAAGATTCAGATCAGATCAGATCAGATCAGACAGATTCAGATCAGATCAGATCAGAAAAATTCAGATCAGATCAGATCAGAACTTAAAAAATTCAGATCAGAAACATTCAGATCAGGCGAAGATAACAGCTTCTTACTCTCTGTTTCAAATACTGATTCTCCTTCTCCAGGAGGTCTTGTATAATTAGTTGAACTCGAGCATACTCTGCCGCACTACTTTGATCATCCAATTCTCTCAATCGTGCCAATCTTTTTTGGTATGCAATAATTTGATGATGGAAGCCTTTCGTTCTTCGTCCGTCCCATCTCTGTAATTCCTTTCCACATAAATTTACTCTATCACTCACATTCATTCCAGCTCCTGCCCTCCAGCTATTAGTTTATGTGATAGAGTAGTTTGTATATTTACCAAAATTTTATCATTATTTATATTTATAACATAATGAAGTTAAGTGAATAGTTATCATATACTACGTATGATTATATGTGACAATTCTATCATTCGTAATGTGTACTCCCTCCGTCCCCCTAACTTTGTCTCATTTTACCTTTTTAGTTCGTCCTATTAAGTTTGTCTCATACCATATTTGGCAATATTTGGGTGGTTACAATTCATTCTTACTTTATTCACACTTTATCAACTCAACACCAAGCACACAATTCCACTTTTTCTTAAAATTTGTGCCACACTTCTTTGTCCCAAACATAGTGGGACGGAGTAGTATGTATATATGTATTTTATACACACAAAAATACAATAATATTACTTATCATATTTATGCAAAAATATAGACAAAAATACAATTTCTATATTTCCGACTAGTCCCCAACTAGGCGCCCGCCTAGCGTCTAACGTCTTTTAGAACATTGAATGTCACTAATTTGATTAAGGAGTATCAAATATGGTACGGAATAAAACTTTATGGATGGATGAAAAAGCTAAAAGTGCAAGAAGTAAGAGCATTTTCAATACTACAATGTACACAGGTTAGAGCATTTTCAATACTACAATGACCCCTACAAAATATTGATTTTATGCATCTGGTTCTTTCCACGGTTTTTGGTAAGTCTGTGTATGTAATACTGCCCAAGGGAAAAATCCATGGCTGCCGCCCATTTCCCACCAGTCCCGTTCTAGCCAACATCAACACAGAGAAATGGTGATGGCAAAAACGTTTAATTATCGATTTCAAGTATTATTTGTGGGCCTTATGTCTCAGAAGCTCCATACCAGAGCATTCACTCTGCAGTAGTTTTCCAGAACGATAAGATAGAAATGCCCGTCTATTTTCCCAAAGGTTTCCGAATATCATCTGCTTGGTTAATTGCCTTGAACCCAGCCGGGCCGCCTCGCAAATCTTCCATTCACCGGAATCTCGCCGCAGAGTATTTATGGGGTTGAAATCATTTGTTGAAGTTCATCCGGACTCGCACTTCCCCCTCGAGAACCTCCCATATGGCGTCTTCAAGCGCAGCCACTGCTCTGAAGCTCGGCCCGGCGTCGCTATCGGAGACTATGTCTTGGACATCTCGGCGGTCGCCTCCGCTGGCCTTTTCGACGGCCCTTTTCTAAAAAACTGTGACTGCTTCAATCAGGTTCCTACTATAGCCGCCGCATGATCTTGGTGCGTGTGTCTTTATTAAGAGATTATAAGTAGAGCCGTCTAGCCGGTGAGCCGTCAAAATGGGCCGAAATCCACGAAATGACCCGTTTAAATCCATTTATTGGTGGGTTAGGGTTGAGAATTTTTGACCCATTTAGTTCGCGGGTTTCGTGGGTCAGCCCACGCGGGTTGCGGGTTTAAGTGGGTTGGCCCATCGGGTTACGGGTTGGCCCGCGGGCCAAAAAACAAAAATATAATTTTGAATTTTATTATCTAAAATATTGTTCTTTTACTACCAATATTATTATAATTATAATTAAAAAAGTATTATTCTTTTATTTCTATAATAAATATTCAATAAAATGTTGAAACATATATTTTTTGTGAAGTTCGATACAATATTTAACAATTAGTAGTCATTATTTGCAGATAATTAATCAAAAGTTTTATATAAATATTTATTCTTATACAATGAGTATTTTTGTCACATAGCCTCTTATAATTTTCAAATTCTCGTATAACTAGTATTTAATATTTTTAATTAAACTTAACAAGTATTGAATTTTTAGTATTTTGATTTCTTATATTTCCTTTGTGTGTAACTTGCTAATATAAATATATACTTCCGGGTAATTATTTTTTTAAAAAAATCGTTTTATATTTTTTAGCAGTGGCCCATAGGCCAACCCGTTTAACCCACGGGTTAGGTGGGTTGGGTTAGGGTTGTAGAAATCTTGGCCCGTCATTAAACGGGTTGGCCCGACTCAACCCACATAAAGCATAACCCGTTACGGGTCGAGTCGGGTTGGCCCGTTTGACAACTCCAAGATTAAGCTGGTAAATTTGGAGAAGAGTTTAATTAATATATGAAGAAGAGTTTAATATATGGAGAGATAATTCTCCTTCGTATATTTATTGAACAATGCATATGCATATTTATAGTATACATGCATGGCAGATGATTACATGAGAGAGAGAATACAACTTGCATGGGTCATGCAAGTAGGCATGACAAGCCAACCTATTACATGTGTGATAATATATAATAAGAATATTAAAATATCAAATATCTCAATACTCCCCCTCAAGGTGGAGTGTGAAGATTACGAACACCCAACTTGCTTCGAAGGTAGCGAAAATGATCTGTCCCAAGTGCTTTGGTAAAAATATCGGCCACCTGATTACTCGTGCAGATAGACAATGGTCTAATTTCATTACTAGCAACCCTCTCTCGGACGAAGTAGCAATCTATTTCAACGTGTTTGGTACGTTCATGAAAAACCGGGTTAAGCGCAATATGTCGGGCGGCTTGATTATCACAATAAAGCGATGTAGGGCCCACTTGAGGAAGTGTGAGATCTTTTAGTAACCATCGTAACCACAAAATTTCACTAACTGTGACGGCCATAGCTCGGTATTCTGCTTCAGCAGAAGAGCGAGAGACAACAGATTGTTTCTTCGTTCGCCAAGATATGGGTGAATTACCAAGGGTGATGAAATAACCAGTACTCGATCGACGAGTGAAAGAGCATCCTGCCCAATCAGCATCACAATATCCTTGCAGGGTGAAGTCCTCTTCAGAAGACAAGAATATACCCTGTCCTGGTGTTTGTTTTAAATACCGTAGTACCCGTATGGCAGCGTCAAGATGCGTTTGTCTGGGGGTGCCAAGGAATTGACTGAGTTGACTTACAGAATAAACAATGTCCGGACGAGTGACAGTGAGATATAGTAACCGCCCAATAAGTCGTCGGTAGGAAGGGGCATCCACTAGAGGGCTATCATCGTCCGGCCGGAGCTTTAAATTCTGTTCCATAGGGGTTTGACTAGGGCGACCTGCCAAAAGACCACACTCTTCCAAAATGTCAAGAGTGTACTTTCGTTGACTCAAAACAAAACTTTCAGGGGAGCGAGCAACTTCAATACCAAGAAAGTATTTAAGTTTTCCCAAGTCTTTGATACTGAATTCGGTATCCAAATACCCCTTTACCATGTTAATATGGGTAATGTCATTTCCAGCTAGGATCACATCATCTACGTAAATGAGGGTAAAAGTGGTAACAAGGCCCTGTCGGAAGGTGAAAAGTGAGTAATCTGCTTGGGATTGACGGAAACCAATTTTGGTGAGAGCTTGAGTGAATTTATGATACCAATTACGGGATGCTTGCCGTAACCCATAGAGAGATTTTTGTAACTTGCAAACGCGGGTGTCACCAACTTTTGCGAACCCTTGTGGAATACGCATGTAAACATCTTCAGAAAGATCACCATGAAGAAAGGCGTTATTAACGTCCAGTTGATGTACTATCCATTTGCGTTTGGCCGCAACTGCCAGAATACAACGAACGGTAACTAATTTGGCAACTGGAGCGAACGTCTCATGAAAGTCAACTCCCTCAATTTGTGTGAAGCCTTTCGCTACCAACCTAGCTTTGTAACGCTCCACATCTCCATCAGGTTTATATTTAATTTTATAAACCCATTTAGAGTCAACAACTCTTTTTCCGGGGGGTAATTGAACTAAATTCCAAGTCTGATTTTCTTCTAATGCATTGATTTCTTTTCTCATGGCCTCTCGCCAAAGAGGATCCTGTACAGCCTGTGAAAAATGTTTCGGCTCATCACGTGACGTGATGGCTGCCAAAATTGCTTTGTGTGTGGGTGAGAATTTTTCATAACAAATGAAATCACAAAGAGGATATACCGAATGGGCACTCGACTGTGAATGATCGAGTGATGGAGGCAAATTGATTTCATAATTATCAAGATGTTTCGGTAGTCTTCGATTCCGATCACTCCTCTTTGATTGAAACAAAGGTGTAATGCATGAAGATGGGACGCTGGGACCGGCGGGTAAACTGGGTCCAGGTGCGTCAATTGATTGCTGGTCTGCGGTGAGTGGAATGGCACTTTCAGCCTGTAGCTCATCAATTGTTTTAGAGCTGGGACCAGATTGGTCTGATTCTTGTACATCCGGAGCCACAACAAAGGGTCGATGCAGTTGTTCATTGTGGGGTAGCCGCTCCTCAGGCGGCGCTAGGTTGGTCGGTCCAGCTGGTGTGGGCTCGTCGTTCAGCTGAAGTCTTTCTGGTGAGTCACGCGCAGGAGTCCGCATATGCCCAGAAATTCCATGAGGTGTTTGCTTACAGAGGTCATTCGGTTCTACCAGTGTGGGTCCACTAGTATATTGTCGAATATGTTGCTGCCTTCCAGGTTCGTGAACCTCATTCTGTGGCTGATTTCCTTGCACTAAAGTGGGGTCATGATTAATTTGCCCAACTTGTTCTCCATGGGTCATTATTGAGTGACGAAAATAATTCTCTCTTGAATTGACATGCTGTAATGGAGGACATGCATGATTTAATGTGTGGTTGTAAACCTTTTGAACAAGTGATGAGAACTCAAACTCCTCATCGAAGGTAATTTTGAAGGGAAATTTATCTTCATAAAACACCACATCTCGAGAGCTATAAACTGTCTGTTTTTGCAAATCAAAAATCCGATAAGCCTTTTGACCATTAGGGTAGCCAATAAAAATGCCAGGACTCCCCCTTTCACTAAATTTATCCTTTCGTTTGTTATCATGTCCATATACCAAACAGCCGAACACCCGTAGATGATCATAACTAGGCACTTTTCCAAACAACATTTCAAAAGGACTTTTGTTAAAAATAATAGGTGAGGGGAGTCTATTAATAATATAAACAGCAGTTAAAACACATTCTCCCCAAAAATTAATAGGCAATCCTGACTGGAAACGAAGTGCCCTTGCAACTTCCAATATGTGTCTATGTTTACGTTCGACAACCCCATTCTGTTGCGGTGTGTCAGTGCAGGACGTTTCTAATAATATCCCACTGCGTCCATAAAAATCAATTAAAATGTTTGTTTGGAATTCCACACCATTATCGGCTCTTATTCGTTTGACCTTTTGCTCAAATTGGGTATCAACCATGTTGCAAAATTGAATTAAAAGCTGTGGAACTTCAGATTTATTTTTCATTAAATAAACCCAAACACCTCTAGTAAAATCATCAACAATAGACAGAAAATACTGTGCTCCGGAGATGGAATCGCATCTATAAGCTCCCCAAATATCACAATGTATCAATTAAAAGCACCGAGTTGTCTTAATTGCACTTGTAGGAAACGGTAGCCTGGTCTGCTTAGCTCGAACACAAGGATCACAGAAATTATTGTCTCGCCGAAAACCCTTGAGGGAACTAATGTGATGTAACTTTCCATCGGATGCGTGACCCAAACGTTGATGCCACAAATCGGGGGTAATACAGACCGACATTGCTACCCCTTCTTTCCTTGGGGATTCCAGAAAATAGAGACCATCATGGAATTGACCCACGCCAATCAATTTTCTTGTGGGTAAATCTTGTAAAACACAGAAATCTGTGAAAAATGTTAGTGTACAATTTAGATCGCTTGTTAGGTGACTGACCGAAAGAAGGTTGCACTGGAATTTCGGAATGTATAAGACGCGCTTAAGGCAAAGCCCATTTGGTAAGTACAAACTACCAATAGCATGGACCGGAATAGATTCACCATTAGGGATTCTGACCGACGACGGCTCAGGTGTGGGATTGATGATATTAAAAAGGTTAACATCACTGCAAGTGATATGTTCGGTAGCTCCGGAATCAATTATCCAAGGACGAGCATGCGGCAATTTATATGCCATATTCACTTGTGAAGAGAAAGAAGAAATCATAGCCAGGATTTCGGCTCTGATACCATGATAAAATTAGAAATAAATTTGGAGAAGAGTTTAATTAATATATGAAGAAGAGTTTAATATATGGAGAGATAATTCTCCTTCGTATATTTATTGAACAATGCATATGCATATTTATAGTATACATGCATGGCAGATGATTACATGAGAGAGAGAATACAACTTGCATGGGTCATGCAAGTAGGCATGACAAGCCAACCTATTACATGTGTGATAATATATAATAAGAATATTAAAATATCAAATATCTCAATATTGGTTTGTTTGTTTGCTTTTGTGTCAATCATTAGTATTCGAAACCCATAAGCTTTGTCATGGTATATTAAGTTTTTTATTTTTAAGCTTATACGTATATTTCAATTCCCATAAATGTTAGGAAAGAAATAAGATGCTAATGAACTTTTTCTTCTATTGTGTATGATTTGTTATGTGAGATGCAAAAAGGAAAAAAAATTATTCCAAGTCAATGAAATGTACATGGAAATGTTTAATTATGAAAGAAACATGTGGTGCAGCCTTGTCTAAACAAATTTGTAGAACTCGGAAGACCGGCTTGGAAGGAAGCACGTGCCACGCTACAAAAGTTATTATCGAGTATTCTTCTTCGGCTCGATCTGTTATACTACTCTGTATTTGCTTTCAAAGCACCAAATTGTACTCTGTTTTATATGGATATCTACTTATTCATGCAGAGAATGAACCAACATTACGTGATAATGCTAACTTGAGGCAACAAGCGCTTGTTCCAATGGTTGGTTAGCAGCATATGGGAAAACTTTTCAAATACTAATAGTAGTATAATACTGTCATCCTCAAATCATATATTGATGCATTATGACATTACAAATGAAGTAATATGGTAGTACTGCTTACTGGTCATAATATGATATTGTGATTTTAGGATGACTATAATTATTCCTTTTTTACGAATAAAATCATCGTACTCGTAATCAAGGAAAACACATGTTTTTAACTCGCAATTTCTTTACTATAAAATATGTATATATACACTACATATATTGACATATTGTGTTTGTATAAATGTGAAATTCTTCATTCAGGATAAGGTGCAGATGCTTCTTCCTGTTGCAATAGGAGACTACACGGACTTCTATTCATCCATAAATCACGCTAGAAATTGTGGGCTTATGTTCCGAGGTCCCGGGGAACCCATAAAGCCCAACTGGTAGAAGCTAGGAAGTCTGAAGCTATCATAAATATATTCTCGTCTAATCCTGATTAGTTCCTAACCAGGGTGTTATGTTCTAAGAGAAAAACTTACCATAACTATTTTCTCTTATACGTGGTTTTGCCTTGCAAAATCAATTACTATTAACTTGCTTCAAAATTTTCCCTCTGTCACAGTGACATATTTCACGGTGTCCAGTGGCAGCTACAGTGACACTAGTGGTGGCAACTGTGACACTGGTAGTGATTGCAGTGACATTAAAGAAACTGCCACTGACATTATGACTTTCCAATTTTATTATCGAGAACCTTTTTGTCACAATTTTGTCCATATATAAAAGTAGTTACCTTTTAGTTCATATATAAAAATTTGGAGTAATATTTAAGGAAGACTTTCTAATTCTATTAATTTGAGATAATCTTTTATTTTCTGCCAATTTTTATTTTCATCCAATTTTCTTCTCCATTTCCTCCCAATCCCGTTTTCCTAGTAATTTCAGATTTCCAGAGTCCAGACAGACCAGTGTTCTTTCCCTGTGTTCATCTTGACTTTTATTTTCTTGTTTTTTTGTCTTCTAAGGTTCCATCTTCCCATCGCGTACCATGGACGAGCGTCGTCTATTGTCATCTCTGGCACTGATATAATTAGACCAAGGTGACAAAACATATAGTCCTCTACTCCTCTACCATCAGATTATTTCTCTACTTGTTCAAGAAGTCTATGCAAAGGGCTACTTGCTTTGTGTCATACTGGTGGAAAGGCAACTTTTTTTTGTTCTGTGTCTACGCAAAACATTTTCAGCAAAAGTGTGTTCGTTAAAGTGTTTTCAGGACAATGAGTCTAAAAACTAGGTTTTGAAAGCTATGTGAATATATTTTTCAGAGCAAGTATTTTAAAAAGAGCTTCTAAAAGACATTTTTGCAATGGAATTACCTCATATAGGAGTAAATACAATGTGAATATTATGTGTTTTCTCTATATATGCGTAATTACCGTTATCATATTATAGCATTAATGTTCTCATTTTGAGCTTGATTATACCAAAATACAACTGTATGATTTTCAGAATAACAGTATTTACTTTTATTAGAGAATAAAAACTAGTAACTCCGATTTGGGGAAACCTCATCATTTTTACTTCTATTTTGAAATTTTTTCTTCTTTAGAAGTTCAAAATGGGAGATTCTGAATTTTAGTCCCCTCTTAAGAAAAGTAAAACCACTTTTGTAAACTCCTTAGACACATATCCTTCAACTTTTAGATTCCAGAAAAACACTTGGTGTTTCAGATCTCCAAAAGCTAATAGAGGCTTAACACCTTGTGACTAATTAACCTCTCCAGAGCTAGATGAGTAATGGAAAAGAACTGTTTCTTCCTATATTATGTTATGTGCTGCCTACTACATGGCTTTGAATCTTGGTCAAACTTGTAGTTCCAATTTGACACCATGCATTTCCTTAAATGACTTGTGCAATTGGATCATTTTAGAGGACAAGATCGTCCAGTTGGAAACTCTCCTCCATATTTTGGACCTTCACGAAAGATGGACTTTGAGCTTGAATTGGTAAGACCAAAAAACCTATCTTTCCACCCACGTAATAATCCAGCAGCGATCAACTTTTTTCATCTTCTATTATTTTTTCTGCTAAAAGGCAGCTGTAGTTGGTCCAGGAAATGAATTAGGAAAGCATGTAAATATTAATGAAGCTGCAGATCACATATTTGGGCTTGTTTTGATGAATGACTGGAGCGGTAAATTTAATCTTGTTTTAACTGTTCAATTTTTTCACTGTAATGTAAAATTTAATAAACCGTAATGGAATGCCATGTGACGTAGTTAACTACGTATGTTTTCATTACATTGTTTTCCGTCACTTCTTACCAAACGTTACCTAAATTGGATGGCTACAACAGCTCGAGATATTCAGGGGTGGGAATGCATTCCACTAGGTCCGTTTATTGGGAAGAATTTTGGTAAGTGATTGAATTTTTCATGTGTAGCAATGACTTTATGGTGTTATCTTTCATTATCATCTCAACTTTGTATCTTTTATGTTTATGTTCTCTATAAGGTACAACCATATCTCCCTGGATTGTGCCTTTAGATTCCCTTGAGCCCTTTGGCTGTGAGGCTCCAATGCAGGTTAAGCTTATTTCATATCTTTAGAGCACTAAAAAATGTCCTAATTAAAGGGCACTAGAAATTTTGCAAGGGCTTGGACATGTAATCGGTCAACCATGCCAGAAATATAGCATTTCTTTGTTAGACAGCTATGAAGTTCAAATAACGAGAATCCTTTTTCCTCTACTTCTCGCAGAACCCACCGCCTTTGCCATACCTCACAGAGAAGAAGCCCAAAAACTATGACATTTGCTTGGAGGTACTTTAATACATCCATAACCAAAATTTATTTATTTTTGCTTTAGAAAATGTGATTTTATATTGCCCGGGACGCTTGAAAGAAAACCAATCCTCTTTTGTTGCAAGGTTGCGATTAAACCAAATGGACATGAAGATTCATATGTTGTGTCAAGAAGCAACTATAAACACCTGTAAGCAAGGATAACGGACTCTAGAATCTGCTCTCTTCTTTCTTTCTTATTTCTAAGACATTGAATTTTGCCAACAATAACACTATGATAGATACTGGACTATTCCTCAACAAGTCGCACATCATACTATAAATGGCTGTAACTTAAGGCCCGGTGACCTTCTTGGAAGTGGCACTATAAGCGGACCTGTAAGATATCAACTGCACTTTGTGTTTTTTGTTCTTTCACATGTTTGTATAGTTAAGAAAATATTTGAAAAATAATTTCGCAAAACTTATTAAGTTTGTACTCAAGATCAACATTTATAGGAGAGTACAAGCTTAAAAAATATTTTCACTTGAATTGATTTTTTTTTGTTTCATCTGATGTGGTTTATTTGAATCTTATCCAATCAAGTCGGTTGGTGTCTAATGCAATGTCTTATATGCATACCTATCTCCCTTTCTAATCATTCAATGAATATCTCTTAACATCAGTTGTTTTGTAGGAACCAAATTCTTATGGAAGTCTTCTGGAGTTGACATGGAATGGGCAAAAACCTTTGAGCTTGGGTGGAGAAACTCGCACATTCTTGCAAGATGGAGATGAAGTCATTATTTCTGGTTTCTGCAAGGTTGTTCCCCTGAATTGATATTTTCTCTCCTCTAACTATACTTCGTAATGTATTTATTTATCAACTATGTACAAGTTTTTGCTGGTTGATTGTGGCTGAACTATAGCATTTGTGATCTATGATCATTTGAGCTTGTAGGATAAATCTATACTCTCGGAACTGATTACGTTTTTGTTTGCTTGTGAACAGGGTGATGGCTATATGGTTGGTTTTGGAACATGCTCAGGGAAAATTCTTCCTTCCCCAGCTTGACACTAAAAGGGACGATTGAATCTCCATGCTCTTAGCCTGCATAATAATGTGCTTAGGGCGATTGGAGCTTCTGTTTCTTTATAAAATTTGAGTTGAATTGAGGAACTAATAATTTTCATGTTTTTCCTTGGAAAAAATGACTCATATATCATAAAAATAAAGATGCCAAATAAAAATGTGACCACTTGTACATAGTAATTACATTACTAATTCTAACAACTATGACTATTTTAAATTTAACACCATTGTAACATGACGGGTGTAAATGAAGTTTAAACATGAGTTTTAGAACTCGATATGATATTTCTAGCTAATGACATAAAATGCTTAAAGTGGAATAAAATACTACGTACTACCCTTTCACACTAGCTCTATTCTTAAATACTACGTACTACCCTTTCACATGTTGTACTTCGACAACATTTTATTTATTATTGTATTAGAAATAAACTTTTAAAAAAATTGTTAAATTCCTTCCATTAATTTTTTTTTCAAAAACTCATTAGTTTTATTTTTTAAGCGGAAACTATCAAATATGCTCTCATACTATATTGAAAAAACCAATTAGACCCTCGTACTCTACAAGGCAATTTTCCGTTTTTTCATCCAAACTGCATACATCCTCCAGAATGCTTCTTGAAGATGAGGTAGCATCCCCTTCTTTAGTAGTTTTAAAGAGGGAACTTCCTATGCAATGATATTTATCTCTTATTTTATCACCCCAAACAAAAGGAGTAGATCTTTTTTTAGCATAGATATAACTTTCCCGGGTAGCTTATTAGTTGCAAAAAATGCTGAGGAATTGATGCTAAGACGTGTTTTATGAGAAGAAGTTTACCCCCTTGTGATAATGTTTTTTTCCTCCAAGCCGAGAACTTATTATCAAATTTAGTAAGAAGAGCCTTGTAATGGAAAAGTCGAGTAATTCCCTCACGAATAGGAACCCCCTGGGTATTTCAGGGGTTAATACCTTTTCCATTGCTTTTATCCTATTACTCGGAAGTTTGGTGACAAAGATGCTCTTATCTAAGTTAACCTTTTGATTGCAAACAGTTTGATATGATTCCAAAAAAACTTCAAAATACATCCAAAAAATGGATAGAACGTTTATAAGCACAAGATCATTCGTGTATGCTAGATGTGTTAGGGGGTAGGGTCCCCTTGAGATATTATAAAAATCAATCTTGCCAGTTGCACATCAACTCTTCAATCCCCTTGTGAAGGTTTCTGACATCAATATGGAATAATAAAAGAGAAAGAGGATCTCCTTGTGTAACTTAACAAAAATGATCTTTGTACCCACTCTTATATCCAATTTTATACCCACCTATGTTTGTGAAGTGTTTTTTTTTTTCTGTGAACCCCGGCTCACAGACAATATTTTGCACAAACAAAATATTGTCTATGAACCGGGTTCACAGACAAAAAAAATCTCCACAAACATGGTGGGTATAAGGTATAAGAGTGGATACATCAAGCATTGTTATTAACTTAATCCCACGCTCCGGTCTCAAAAAGCACAACTACGACCATTGATAGGAATTGAAAGATGAGTGGCTTCCAAATTACCAAGAACAAGTTGAGTGAAACCCTGAGAAAATCCTAATCTTAACAAAATCCTAATCACCACGATTAAGATATCCTATCAACCGCTTTGGCCACAGCTAATTTAATAGCAACATTAGAGCCCCTACTCTTCTTATTAAGAGAGTGCATGCACCATCTCACAAGTATCAACATTTGATCATTTAGGTCCTTGTCTTTTATAAATCCATTTTGTTATGGTGATATTAGTTTAGGGAGAAGAGTAGCTAAACAATTAATCAATATGCGAGTGTTAACTGTGCCAATGAAAGTTGATATAGTGATAAGGCGATATTGTCCAAAATCGGAAAGATAGCTAGCTGCTTTTAAGGATGTTTTTACTTGGATCGTAATTTATTGGTCTGGTCTATCTGGTCTAATCTGATCTGGTCTGAACTGGTCTGATTTCTTTGTATGTTTATAACTATCCAAGTCTGATCTGGTCTGGTCTGATCTGATCTGATCCAATCTGGTTTGGGACAGATTACCAGTAAAGACATCCTAACAACTTCTAAAAAATCTGGATGACCGAGTCACATATTCTGGAATTCAAATTGACGATGTCCACTAAAATTGGGATTGATCACACTTTAACAAGATGGGACAATAGTCTGAAGAAATGTAACTCAAATGTTGGGTAAATCCTTGAAGTATCAAAGGACTCCCAAAAGCATCATTAATTAAAAACCTATTCAATCTTCCCACACTTGATCGTTGGAGCGAACCCCATGCCATGTGGATGACAATCCTTGCAAAACAAAGAGCAGAACTATCTTATAGTCCCTTTCATAGGAATAGAATGTCGTTCGTGTATAGTCGTATGTTTAAGTCTAGTTCAATAGTAGAATATACTTGAAAAAAGTTAGGAAATTTCTAAAATTTTGATTCAACATTTGAAATTCCCTTAGGCTAAGTTCGTGTATAGTCGTATGTTTAAGTCTAGTTCGGACAATATCAAATTTGATATGAGCTAATTTTAATTGGACAACTCAATATAAAAGATAACAATTTTAGCTGTACGTCGATAGTATAAGCCATGTTCTCTGTAGGGGTGGATCTAGGTGGACTATGTGGGGCCCTACTTACCTGTATGCAGTTATGCACATAAGTTCACCAATGCTCTTATGAGCCATATTAGTTAACTTGCTGAATAAATGCATATGTACGCGCAGATTGCATAGAGACATTTTTGGAGAATGAAGACCGTTGGATTCACACTTGCTCCTCGGTGACTCACCAAACATTATATTATATTGTGTGTATGTGTAAGTGTGTTGTATACTTCGTATATATTATTATTCCCACATTTGGTTATGAAATCATGCATGCATGTAGTCTTACTTCAGCAGGTTATTTTTGACAAACTAATTAATCAAGAGAAAATTATTATACTCCCTCCGTCCCACAAACAACTTCCCACTTTCCTTAAATGGATGTCCCAAAATTAACTTCACACTTCAATATTTTCCTTATTTGGCAAATTATCTACATCAAAAAAGTGATAAACAGTGCCAAACAGTGTTTAAACAGTGCCAAACAGTGTTTAAACAGTGCCAAACAGTGTTTAAACAGTGCAAAACAGTGCACTCTACAGTAAAGTCAAATTTATTTTCTAAAAGTGTGTGAAAGTCAAACCGGGAGGTTGTTTTCGGGACGGAAGGAGTATAAGACTAAAAGATAAACAAAGTGCACATATAAAATTATCATTATTTTTTTTTCTAAAATAGGACTTATTCACTCCTAAGACCATTTGGAGTGGTGCAAGAGTCTAAATGTTAAAAATGGACTACGTCGATATGAAAACAGTGTTTTGACTCCTATTTCTCTGCATTCCAGCACCGTCAATAAAATACACTCTGCACATTTTTTTACATATCAATTTAGTAAAACATTAATTAAATTATTATAAATAATGTTTTCCTTTTAATTTTTTCTTTGATTAATTATAAAAAAAAGACACATTTCGATGTAAAAATAAATAAATTTCATTAATATTTTTTTTTACGTTTTTCGCTGAAGTGATTTTAAACACATTGAGGTGTTTATATAGGATTGTCAGATAAAATAAATTATTTTAACTGTTGGATTTCAATTTCAGCCATTGGGTCATTTTTTCACATTTTATCAGTGTCCAAATCATCACAACCGTTGGACCTACTAATTAAAAACAACCATTCTTGATGTACACGTTTTTATACTCATCAGTACACGCATGTGTCTGTGAGAGTTTTTTTTGTTTGTGAAGCGCGGTCCACAGACATAAGTTGGCTTGTTTTGTCTGTGGAAAATTTCACAGACAAAACAAACCAGTTTTTGTCTGTGGACCGCGCTTCACAGACAAAAAAAAAACTCTCACAGACACATGCGTGTATAGATGGGTACAAAAACGTGTACAAAAGGAATTTTTCAATTAAAAAAAAACGTTGTGGGTGCTGTGTGACACCAGCACAACGTCATCATGACATCAGCTGGACAAATAATTCCCTTGCACACTTGGCTAGCTGGCCTCTTCCCCCTGCACACCCACCTGCCATACGCCCACTTTTTCTTTTTTTTTTTATTTTTTTTCATTATTTTCTTGGCTGTCTAAATTCCTCCAAATATAACCACTTCCCTCTCCAAACCCATTTTTAATACCCTCTTCAATCAACCAATGCATGAAATTAGGAGTCTAAAAATGCCATTTTTAACATTTTGGACTCCTAATACCTTACCACTCCAAATGGTCTAATAGGAGAAGATTATACTTTTAATAGGATCAAATGAGTCCAATTTTGAGAATAAAGTACTATACATGTAGTCCTATTTGTGCATTTCGTCTAACTTTTGGTCCTATTTAAAACAATTTCTAATCCATCAACTAAACTAGGAAGTATATAAAGTTCCTTAACTTCATCCATCCTTAACTTAATCCATCAACTCTGTCCCTGTTACCTCACACTCTAATAATATGTGTACTAATATCGAGCTAACATGTGTGCTTGCATCGATCGATGTGTTTCTAATATATGCGTCCTGTGCGTGTGTTAGGAATACCCAAACTCAGGATTCGAAAAGGCTTTTGATTGGTTGTTTGACTTCGAGAATGGTCCTTTTATGAAACCTACGAAGAAAAAATCTAAGAAAATTGTGAGATGTACTCAGGTATGTACATATTGTGCATTTTATTCTGACGTTTTGGTTCATAAATTGCAGCACTAACATCGAATCCTACATTACTACATAGATGCACTGCATTTGTGTGTATAAACATACTTAAAATATTCTTAATTAATTAGTTGAAGCTCATAGCGTTATACGTTACGTAATACTACCTCTGACCTAATTTGATAGTCTCAATTCATATTCACTTGGTCAACATAAATCATTCGTAATCTCTTACTTTATATATCAAACTTTTATCAAATTTGATTCCGACTTTTGCGACTTTGTAAAGTTTTTAATGTAATTTCTAAATATGTAATTTTTTTTCTAAAAATAATTTGAGTGCGAACAGGGATCTGTTTGCTTTATTATTGGTCAAACATCGTAAACCGCAACGAGACTATATATCATTTTGGGACGAAGGGAGTATTACTTAATAGAGAGATTTGCAATTTTAATCTCGTAATATTTAGTTGTGTCTATAATATTATGTGAGTGGCATTTTTCGTTTGTGCCGCGTTGCATTTTCTTCATAGACGTGTTTCTCTGATAGTTTGTTACCTAGAGTCCTAGTCAATGTGCACACACAAAAATGTATACGCAGTATCAAGTTTTTGTTGTAACATACTCCTATTCTGTAAAACTTGATTAGAAATTGATTTTAATGTAAAAAATGTGATTTATACATATTGGTTGACCGGTTGTGAAAATACCTAATTGTGTACTGGGGCGGGTAATGAATGACCTAAGGACATGTTTATTTCACGGGTTATTAAACGGTGCTTATTAAGACCTGTGTTAATAAGCGGCGCATAAAATAAACAATGTTGTAAGACCGTGTTTACTTCAAACGATTTAAAACACCGCTTAACATTAAAATGTCCAAAATAACCCTATACATATATATACACACAAACATTCATGAACACAAGTATATAATATAATATGTGTACCCATACCCCTAACCCCTTACCCACCCTACCTTACCCCGACCCCACCCACCGCCTACCCATACCCCCCTACCCCTACCCTACCTACCTGACCCCACCCTACCTACCTGACCCTACCCCTACCCGACCCCACCCTAACCTGTCCCCACCCTACCACAACCCTACCCCCGACCCCATAGGCCCCTACCCCCATAGGCCCTTACCACATCGACCCCACCCCGACCCCACCTTACCCCAACCCCGCCCCTACCCTACCCAACCCACCCCCTACCCCTACCCCACCACACCTACCCTGCCCCTAGCGCCTCTATCACATCGGCCCCACCCTGACCCCACCACCCTAGGTATAGTGGGGTAAGGGGTGGGGTAAGGGGTATAGGGTGGGGTGATTGAGGTCAGGTAGTGGTAGGGTGGGTCGGGTAGGTAGGGTAGGGGTTGGGTAGGTAGGGTAGGGGTGGGGTTGGGTGGGTAGGGTAGTGGTAGGGTGGGGGTTGAGGCGGGGGTAGGGTAGGGGTAGGGTCGGATAGGGTAGGGGTAGGGTCGGAAGGGTAGGGTGGGGTCGAGTATGTGGGTAAGGGGGTGGGGTAGGTAGGGTAAAGGTAGGTGTGTGGTCGGGTAAGTAGGGTAGGGGTGGGATTAGGTAGGTAGGGTAGTGGTAGGGTGGGGTCGGGTAGGGGTAGGACGGGGTAGGGGTAAGGTGGGGTCGGGTAGGGGTAGGGTAGGTGGGGTAAGGGTAGGGGTGGGGTTGGGTTAAGGGTAGGGTGGGGGTCAGTTAGGTAGGGTAGGGGGGTGTCTGGTAATGGGGTAGGGTAGGGGTAAGGTGGGGTACGTGTAGGGTGGGGTCGGACAGGTAAGGTAGGGGTAGGGTGGGGTCGGGGTAATGGTAGGGGTAGGGTCGGGGTAGGTAAGGGTATGGTGGGGGTCGGTTAGGTAGGGTCGGGGTGGGGTCGGGGTGGGGTAGGGTAGGTGGGGTAGGGGTGGGGTCAGGGTAGGTGGGGTAAGGGTAGGGTGGGGTAGGGTGGGGTTGGGGTCGAGGTGGGGCAGGGATAACAATAGGTTAAGGGCAAGGGATAAATTCGGAAACTGAAAAAGCTTAAAGTGCCGCTTAATTAATACATGGGGGGGGTGGTATGCTTAATAAGTGGCACTTTAAGCACCTCTTTCGGTTAGTAAGCGGCTTTTTAAGCAGTGTGCGTGTTTACTTCACCTGTCTTACTAACCTAACTGTGACTTTAGTAGTGAAGTAAACACCTCCTAACTGATTTTTTTTTGGTCCCACTTTGATGGGCCAGTGGCGGAGGCAAATATCAAAACTCGTGAAGATTTCAAAAAAATTCTGTTGCAGCTTCTTGCACGACAACGTTGTTTTGAGGTATTGATCGGTTTATATTCTAGAATTTAATTGTGTTAGCGAACTGAGAACGAGTTCATGGATGACTTGGGGTAACAGGGTATCCTGTTGAGGTCGTAATCTGCTTGTTAAGGTTACTCCTCTTCTTGCCCGTCACTAAAAGAGCGCAGGGGGAAGGGTTGAAGTCCGTGACTTCTCTTGGGGAATAACTCTTCTAACAATCTAATCTTTATTATTGCTGAATAAAGAATATAAATAGCCATTCTGCCTTTACATGATAGAGTTCTAATCTAACACAAATTGTAACCCTTAATACTTCTATTCCTAATAGGAAGTAATAAATTAAATATAAAAATAGCATCAGGATATATAAATCCCTCTTCTAAGTAAACTCTTCTAAATAAATTGTTGGCTAAAAGGTCAAATAGGCTCATGTACCTGTCGTGTAAGCTCAATTCACATCCCGAACTGACAAAAACTGGTTCAAATTTCATTTTCAATGGGTAAACAACCGATCATTTTTTTAATTTTTTTATTGTGTTTGTTTTTTATTTTCAATTTATTGCAATTTTGACACTTTTTAATAGTTTAGGGGTGCGAATTGACCTTTTTTTACCGGTTGTTTAACCTTAAAAAATAAAATTTTAATTGATCCCGGTTCGGGGTATGAATTGGACCATTTTTTAGTTCAGGAACTAAATTGAGCTTACAGGGCCGGTAAAAGAACCTATTTGACCCTTTAGCCTAAATTGTTCTAATTGTTTCCCATATTTTATAAAAGGGAGGTTTGCAATTTTAGTCCTGTAACTTTCAATTGTTATCGTTATTGATCATGTAACTTTAATCACTTGCAAATTTGGTCCTGTAACTAATACATCTTTTCAATCTAAGGACTTTGCCACCGGAAAGTACACCTTTCGGCAAAAAAACCAACCCCGGCGACATCTTTTCCTGTATACTATCGCCGGAAAGTGTATTTTTCAGGGGAAAAGTCATCCTTAAATCGTAAATATTGGAGTATTTAATTATAGGACCAAATTTGGAAGTGACTAAAGTTATGAGATTAATAATGAAAACTGCCGAAAGTTATGGTATGAAAATTGCAAATTTCCCTTTTTAGAATAATTGAAAAAATACCGTAATCGATCATATTCTTATTATTACGTAGTATTAATCAATCTACTACTTTACTTGATACATGGATACGGTCAAAACAGACGCTTAAGGCAGTGTGCCCCTCTATCACGGTGGATGCAAACTCGCTAGAGACAGTTATTTCACTCAACAATCTAATTAATACGGAGTATATTCCAGCTATTATTAAGGCTCAGCTATTTCATAGTCTCACAAAGCTACATCTGGGCTTTGTGCCGATGAAAATAAAATTTCTCTGTTTTTTATTCCTTGAATGACTTAATTGTCAATCACTTTGATTTTCGACCGATGACCATTTGAGACTTGAATTTGTTATTGTGAATTATACTACCTCCGTTCTTAAATAAGTGCAACAGTCAACATATCACATTTGCCGAGACACAACTTTGATCATTAATATATATAACTCTCTATTACTAAAAAAAATTAAAAAAATCAGATTTTGAAAATTTACAATGAGACAAATTTAGTACTACGTAATATTTTTTCAAAAATATATATTAATACATCAATAAATAAAATGTAGTCAAACTAGAACATGTGAATAGTGTAAAATTTGCAATGTTGCACTTATTTAAGAACAGAAGTAGTATATTTATACTCCATATATACTCTCGTTGTCCCTATACAAAGATCCCGCTTTAAGTTGCGCGCGTATTAAGGAAATAACTTCTACGTGGACATTCTTGAATGGTCCTTCAGTCCTTCTATTGAGGGGTAAATTTTATTATAAGTATAATGTTTTAATGTGTTAATATTGTTTGATACTATTCCGTTCAAAAAAAATATTGTTTGACACTATTGAATACTACCTTCATCTCAAGTTAAGTTTCTCATACATTATCAGTCAAAGTAATTAAGTACAGTTGATATTTGTGGTACAATTGATATTTCTTAAAGGCGTAATGATTAATTTTGCCATAAAGATTTTCGTGCAGAGATTGATTTTTCAACTTAGTAGAGCATAAAGCTTTGATACCATTTCAAAGTTTGAAGCAACGAAAAACCACACAGGAAAAAATACATACATGAAGTTCTCGCCAAACAAAAGAAGTAAAGAAAGGAAACATAATAATTACAATAAATATTCAGCAGTGTGAGACTATAATTGGCATGAATATATGTACAAAATAAACTGGCTAAGTCCATATGGTAAGAGCATCTCCAATGCTAAGCTTTTGACGTTAATAAAATTGTGACACATGGTGCTGGATGTATGAAATGTTATGCCACATAGGATGCATGTGAAAACCAGAGAAACTAAATTGCCGTAGTGGTACACAATGCATACTGTCGACAATGGTTTGTTTTACTATGTTTTTCTTGAAATCCATGAAAGTAATTGCAAATACAAAGTCCTCAACTGCAAAGTATAAAAACTACCCATGTTTTACCAAAGAAGAGTCTTAGTTTGTTGGCTCGGCTAGTGTGATTGGCTTTCAAATGTGAGAAAGTGGTTTGACATTGTTACAATTATTTTTTACACATCAGCACAATGTTGATCAACACAAGAACCCATTGTACAGCAAAAATATCAAACACTTCGTGACTTCTTGATGTGGCAACAATTTTCAAATGTCAAAAGTGCGACATTGAAGATGCTCAAGTACCTTTAATATGAACATTTTAGGATGAGTAAACCGCTTTTGGTTGTTTTAGTTACTCCGTATTTGATAGTGGGTATTAACATGGCCGCCCGTTTATAGGCTCCGCCCGATTATAGGCTTAGAGACAGAATATATAATGGACTTGATCAAAAGAAATTATAAATTTCTTTTCCCTATATGTAGTAACTTGGATAATTTTAATATTTCAAGACATTTATAATAAATCAGGACTTACATTTGTTAAATTAACCAAGGTAGAATCACAATTTTAAAATATAAAAAATACAAGTAAAACATTCTGAACCATTTCATGTTCGATAGTTAAATCAGTCATCTCTTCCGATTTATCACTCATTCAAAGAAGAAATTAATTGTATGGTTCGGCCGCTTTCTCCAATTTATCACTCATCCTAATATAATAGTATCCAAAAAGAATCTGAAGAAAGACATTAACAAAGTTTTCATCAACCCCATAGGACAGAATGAGTTCATCATTTTCCAAACCCTGTCAATGAAAATTATATTCAAACATGAAACTACAAGCTAATCCTAGAGATGCAACTAGGAGGAGTAGGAGCTAATCCTACTAGGTCCACCAATGATTTTTTATATGTTGGTTAGTAAGTCATTTAATAGTAGTTTATTATAGAAATCTCAAGGTAACAAATTTTCCAGCAAGTATAACGCTATCACATAGCACTTACAAATAGATCAAACAATGGCCATGAGAATAACAAGATCACGATAGCAGTTACAAATGCTAATTTCTTATCATACCAAACAAATAAGGTGAAATTCACAAGAATAACCCTACTTTTAGGAATTCTGCAATAATAATCCCTACTCAGAGTGTCAACACAAATAATTCGAACAAGTAATGATGTCCATAGGAATCAATTGGGGTGAATTCAAATTAATGTCCATTTAATACTCTCAACTATTATTCTCAATTTTCTCTTCCTTGCTCTTCGATCTTCTCGGGGCAAATTCAAACTAAAACACATTTAATCTCGACATCATTTGTGTCATATCTGGCTATCTCTATGTTGGAACATAAAAGTGTTAACCGAGATAAATAGTGGTGAAGGGGAATATGGAGATAGGGGTTGAGAGTATTAAACAGACATTAGTGTGAATTTAATCCTTGTGGACACTATTGCCAGTACGGATTATTTTTATCGACACTCTCAATAGGGATTATTATTGTAGAACTCATAAAAGTATGAATTATTCTTGTGAATTTGCCAAGAAATAAACCTTAGATCATTTTAATTGTCATTAAATAATCTCTGCACCATAATCATCATAGTAATAAATGAGATCAAATCTTATTTTATTATGTGAGCTAATTAATTGAGAATTGAGTAATAGCCCATGCGGCCATGCCCAATGAGAATTATAGCTTTGTTCTTCTTGTTACTCAGTATTTTATTTCACGATAAAGACACCTTTGGGAGTTTGAAGATGTAGAACACATGGTTGTACCATCAATTCTTTTATCCAACGAGTTATCAAATAATGGTATATTCTCCCCATTCCAAACTCTAAGAAAATGTGAGCTAATTAATTAACTGATTTAGATGAAACTTTTTGCTTCTAATTTCCTTCTAATATTGTTTTTATAAATGTTCAGAAAAATACGTTAATTTATTAATGAAAAATAGCATTGTTATAAAAACAAAGTGATGCATAAAAGATACACATGTGTGTATGTACTAGCCATTTACATTTGTAATCATCAAAAGGTCATCCGCAGCAGAATCCCCAATCCATGAGATTTTTTGGGGATCATCTTGATGATGTGGAAGACTTTTTTTTGAGATTATGATTGAGGAGATAAGATTATTTTGAAAGATTATTTAGATAAAAATCTGGTACAAAATATTGAATCCTAGATTATTCTCAAGTTTCAATTCTCAAGTTTCAATAAACACATTTAAAGCAACCATGTCTTTTGATTTGGAATGACTAAAATACCTCCTTGGAAATAAAAAAAAGTTTCATAAAATACTAAATGAATAGAGATCAAGGTTGAGGGAGAATTAGTATGTTTTGATTTTGGACTTTGTTTATGCGGCAATGACATGACAAAAGAAACACCATGAAAACCTGAATATTTAATTTGAGGAGTATGAATGAAGATCTCTAAGTAGTGCATCGGATTAAATAAGTCTGCCATGGCATGATTCGGTATATCAAAGATCCAAAACATATTAAAAATTGTGAATTCATTTTCTATTCTTCTTAGATGTTGGAGTTAAAGTAGAGTATTGACAAATATAATATGAGTGGAGTTGTAATGCCCATTTCTCTCATATTTAGTGACTTCGATTGGATAAGTCTTTGGATTTATATATTGTTTCGACCTGAATATGCACACAAGCCGACTTTCATATTCATTATTTCAGGTTAACTTAAAAGTCGTCTCCTCTATCCACAAAATGTTTGAAAAGGATTACTAATGAAATTTGTAATGTTCACTTACTTAAAATTTTTTTCATTAGTGTGACATTTCCTACGAGAAAATTGTCGAGAATGAGACTCTTTCATTAACTTTTGATTTAAATAGGACCTACTTAAAATTTGTTCATCCGTATATCTCAATTAATCCTGTTTTAGGAAACTCAAATTTAACTTACCTAAAATACCCTTGATTGTTTAAGACGCATAATAGCCTTCCCCTTTTAATAGCCTTCCGCTTTTATTCCTTCTGCTAACGACTTAACCGCCTACTGCTTCGTCCATGGAAGGAAACATGATCCTTCGCTCGATCTTCTTCAAACTTCGCTCTAGAGTTTCGCTGAGTAATTTGCATCACTAATTCGAACTCAATCTCCATCAATTGCGATTCAGTATCTCTATTCCGAGAGGAGTTAGCTGCAAACTACCGATTGAGCTTCATCACGATTTGTGCCCCGTTTCTTCTGCGATTTTGTCTTGTAAGTTTGTATGTATTGTGTTCTGATTACGATTTTGTGTTCGTTTTTTCAGAATTACATTGTTTATGAATTTCTTCATTTAGTTATCTTCATACTCTGAAATTATATTCCTATGGTTTATTGTGTACAACACTTCGAGATTATTTGGACGTTTTATCAGTTCTGTGTACTGCACTTAGACATTCTCCTGCATCAATAGATTTGAAGTTCATAGTACATAAGTTTGTGTATTAGTGTTCTGTCTATTGTTCGTTAAATCTGACTATTACTATTTTTGTTTCTGCTTCTTTTCTTAGTTTTTTTCATTTATTTTTTCATACATGACTACATCATATATTTATCTGTTTTGTAATCACAATTACTTATTCACATCAATATATTATGTAATGAGTTCAATATGATATTTGAATTGATTTATCTGTTTTTACTCAGATCAAAACAACATGTTGATTATGCTAAAGGTGGATGGAAGTTGGGATGAATCCTATGTTTTCTGTAATAAACGAACTTGTGGTCTCATAGTTCCAGATGAGACATTATATGTTCGTTTTATTGCTTTGGTGTATTCATGCATTGGTTCATTTGCTATGAATGAAAAGTTGAAGATCAGTTATTTGGTTGAAGAATGTCCTCCCCCAGTGGTTGTTAATGATGATTACAGTTTGTGCTTTTATTTGGCTCTTAAAAAATCACAACCTGATTATGCCAAGTATCCTTTGTGTGTTGAGTTGTTTCCACTCTCTGTGTCTACTGCTTCCCACTTCTCTTCACAACTTCCTGCATTTGATTTAAATGTGGCTGCAAATGGTGAATTTGATGATCTTGAAGACACTTCTATCATGCATCATCACACATTTCACATTTCTTCTCCTCAAAATGAAGATATGTCTTTGGATATGTATGCTACGAATGCTGATATTTCAGTTCAGTCTGATATTTCTGGTTCTAGCAATGCAGTTTCTTCACCTACATCTTCAGGCAGTGAAGATCTTGCTGTTAATGAACACTTTGATTTAGACTATTTTCATGATTTTCAAGATATTCAAGTAATCTGTCACTTTCATCCTACTCGTATTGCTAAAGATGCTATCTACCAGGATAAGAAATCATTAGCCCATCATTTGAAGATGTATGCCATTTCAAATCTTTTCCAATATCAAACAAAGACATCAACTAGAAAAGTCTTGCATGTTGTTTGTGTTGATGATGAGAATTGTGATTGGGCTGTACGTGCAGTGAGGTTGAGTGGATCTCAAATGTTTCAAGTAAAAAGGTAATTTAATGAGAATTGTTTGTGTTTACAATCTGATTTTGTACTATTTTTAACTTATTGTCTAATTACTGCCTTTTTAATGACTACTTACTGTTGTACAACTTCCAGATTTGATTCTGTGCATACATGCTCACTTGATGTGAGACAAGGTCCCCACCGCCAAGCTACCACAGAAATTATTGCTGAACTCATCAAACACAGATATGCGGATGCATCTAGAAAACCTTATGCTCCGAAAGATATTATTGTTGATTTAAATAGAGATTATGGTTTGACTATACCTTACAAGAAAGCTTGGCTTGCAAACAAGAAAGCTCAAGAAAAGTTGATGGGTTCAGATGAGCAATCATATCAATTGTTACCCTCCATGGCTTATGTTCTTAGAAAGAAACATCCTGGTTCATTGATTTTGTTAGGTGTTGGGGCACATAATCGGTTTAAGTCTTTCTTCATGTCGTTGAATGCATGGATGGAAGGCTGGAAACATTGTGTTCCGGTTCTTATAATTGATGGCTCATTTATGAAAGCGTATTACAAGGGTACTCTATTGACTGCATGTGGTCAAGATTCTAACAACCAGATTTTCCCTTTGGCTTTTGGTGTGTGTGATACTGAGCGAAGGAAAACATGGACTTGGTTTTTTATGAAACTGAAGGAGTGTCTTGCACATAGGGAGGACATGTATATTGTTTCAGATCGTCACGATGGTATTATACATGCAGCAAAAGTGGTGTTTCCGCATGCTGAACACGGCTACTGTGCGTACCATATCCTAGGAAATATTAGATCAAAGTTCAAGGGGTCTACTACAGGTCTTGCATGGAAGTTTAATCAAGCTGCTAGGGCTGCCACTCCTGCTCAATTTGAAGAGTATATGGCTTTATTAGATGCAGAAGATCCCCGTATCCGTGATTATTTGAATGAAATAGGTGTTGAGAAATGGGCTCGCTGTTTTGCTCCTCGTTCTAGGTATTCTATAATGACATCTAACAACGCCGAGTCAGTGAATTCAGTGGACCGTGTGCCTCGTGAGTATCCTATAGCAAAATTGATAGACTTCTTGCGGGGAAGGATGCAAAAATGGTTTTGTGAACGTCGTGATTCTTCATCAAGTTGTAAAACAATTCTGTCTGACCATTTTGAATCTCAACTTCGTTCTTATCATGCCGAGGCAGCTCTTATGAGTGTAAGTCTCAACTACGTTCTTACCTTCTGCCTTTTATTGCATTCTTATCCTTTTATTCTTGTCATCTTTCTGCACTATTGTTTTAAGTGTAACTAATGTTAGCAATTTTTTTCTTGTTTTAGGTCAATCCTGCTAGTCAATATGAATTTGAAGTGGTGGACAAAACATCCAGAAGCTTTGTTGTTAATCTGAAAGACAAAACATGCTCATGTTGTGAATTTCAACTAGATCACTTTATATGTGTACATGGAGTTGCAGTTGTAGGTCATCGTCGAGGTTTATCGTGCTATGTTTACATCTCAAAGTTTTATTTCACACGTGAGTGGGTTGCTGCTTATATAGGGGAAGTTCACCCTCTTGGTTCTCGGTGTGATTGGGGTGTTCCTGCTTCTGTGGCATCTGAAATATGCAAGCCACCTACATGCCTCACACGCCAACCGGGTAGACCTAAGAAGAAGCGTATTCCTTCAATTGGAGAGTTTGGTTCCAGGCAGCGGTGTTCACGGTGTAAGAAAGGCGGCCATAATAAGAAGTCTTGCAGGAATCCTATCCCAGTCCGTGCTTCATAGTTTTATGTGCTTTTGTTTTTTTCCCTAAACAAGCAATAAATAATTGAAAGACATTTATGCTTTATTCATCACTATTGTTAGCTGCCACGATTTGTTGGCATTGTATTCTATGTTCATTGGAATAGTACTTTGGCGTTTCATTATAATTACTTTTTTTTTTTGAATCTTATGTTATTCATACTGACTTTATTGATTGGTAAAATGCAACCAAGTTGCTGCTGTGATGAAAATTATTGTCTACTTATGTACTACGTAATGTCTACACGAAGACCATAATTACACTCATTGTTAGTGAATCTTTAAAAGTGGCATCTGTAATTGTCTCTTCCGGTTTGTCTTTCTTCTTAACTAGTATGATTCAACTATCGTTATACACAAAAGTGAACAATAGCACCAAGGAAGTTCACTATTGTGTTATTTTAAGCTTCTTCCTCACATGTTCAACAATCTTCATAGCTGGATGGTATTATGAGACATCATGATGCATATTCTTGAGTAAGATGTTTGAGAAATCCAATACTCAGAAAATAAATGTCATTGAAATTTATGACTTGAAGTTTTAATGTCTAGAACTCAAATATTAATGACTAATTAGTGTCCAATTATGGACTTTATGATATACTTTCACTAGATTTCGCAAAACTTCACATTAAACACATGCTAAAAGCGAACAAGCATCACATATGGTGCTAAAAATGTAGATTACACATAGTCAACCCAACTGTCTTGAATACTTAGTAACAATACTTAATGACCAAAACAAAGAAATTTCAGAAATATATTTGTTCCCAACAAAATATTTATTACAAATCATCAAGTCCAACTACTGCCTTCATGATGCATACATCAGTAGCTCTGTCGTCATCTTTTGTCGGTACATCTCTATGTCTTGCTTCGAAACTTCACTCACATCTTTGTCCATCATGAGAAACTCAGCAAATTTGATAATAAAGACACCACAGTTGCCCCTGTAAATGCATAAGTATTTAATATGAAGTTAAACATTTATGATGTATTCAGATATGTGAAGAATAGTTAAATTATTACATGACGTACCCATCATCTTGTTGTGGACAATTACGGACTATATCTACACGAATTTTGCCCTTTCCAATTTGTGCATTCGGTCTTTTGTCATAAACTCCCAACCTCTCCATTACTCTTGGTAAGAAGGTCTCCAAGCAAGGAAGGAATGCCCTAATCGTTGCCAAGGAATCTCCTCTTCTCTTTAGGGAGTCATAGACTCTGATACGTTTTCCATTAATGTCCAACACCAAGAGTATCCAGTGCATCCCTATGTTCAGTGGCATGTATACAAAGTCAGCTTCTGCCCATGGCAACCCATTTGACCCAAGCATTGTGTTCATTATGTTTCCATTAGAAGCTGCCTCAGTCATTGTTGTTTTGTCATTAGTGACCATTTCACACTTCAACTTCATCACCCCAATAAATAATGGGTCTGTTGTGGCATATTTTTGCTTGATTTGGTACTGTTTTCTTTTCACTCCTAGGTAATAAAATGCCACTGCAATATGCTGAAAAAAGTAACAAAATCAATTAATAAATTATTTTTATGCATCATATTATTATAATTTACATGTGACATATGTTGATATAAACTTACCATGTCAGACAACCAACGTTCATTTGTGAAGAGGTCATAAATCCATGTCTTTGTTGGTATGATGAAATGATCTAATTCTATACCAAACTTGCATTCAACTAGTTCTTCATGTTTTTTTTTGTACTTTTTGGGGACATTACTTGAATGGTTTTTTACCAGGCCCTCCTTCACAAATTCTTTTACCTTATCCAAGTCCTCTGTAGGTGGCATTTGCTTTGGGTCCTCACTGAATGGTCCTTCAAATGTACTCTTCTCAGAAACTTGTGTTTCATTCAATTTTTTTAATGCCTTTTCCATTTTCCTTTTCTTCATTTCTGTTGTGGGGTTAGGAGTGTATCTATCAGGACTCCTAGCAGCCCTTTTTGACCTTTTAATGACCTTATCTTCTTCTGCAATTTGAACTTTATGTTCAGCCTGTGCATTTACAACTTCCTCATCAGTTCAAAAATTCACTTTATCAATCATGCTGTCTATTCTACTTTCATTTTGAACTTTTGAAATTTAAAGTAACTACTTACCTTATCTTTAGAATTGTGAGCATCCATGTTCTCTTGTTGTCCTTTCTCTTTATTTATTTCATCACGTTTATGTGATTCACTGTGTGCTTCAATGTTCTGTTCTTCATCTTGTTCAAGAGTTGCTGTTTCTTTTGAATCACCAGCATCAGCAGTCATTGCTTCATCTTCCTATAATAACGTAACAAAAATTGTCAAGTCAATCATTACATAAATAAATTTATTACACAAATAGCAATTACCTTTGTTTGCTTCAAGTCCTTAATGACACTATGAATGGCGTTGTCAACATGCATTTCCAACTCTTGTGTGTTTATGCTTGCTTGAGCAGGAGTGAGTATCATGTCATCTTCATAGATTGCTGAATTCTCTTTTTGGGCACATATGGGATTTGCATCCTCACTTCCAAGTTCTTTCTTATCCTCAATGCCTAGACCTTCAGCCATCTCACTGCCTATACCACCTTCTGCCTCCTCACTTCCTAGACCTTCTGCATCATCCTCACCGCCTAGACCAGCTTCATTATTTTCCATTGTTCTTTCCTTCTCTTTCTGTGTTAGATCCAGATGTAGGTCAAAACTTGGTATATCTGAGACCAAAATTGATTTATCTATTCCTCCTGATGCTTCATGAATCTGCACATGGATTTCTTCTTCGCTCCTTTCACCTTCTGCATTTCCGGTGCTTTGAAGCATTAAAGCTTTCAGCATCTCTGCCTGCTGCTTTTGCCCTTTCAGAACTTCTTGTATTCCATCTTCTATTGTTTTCATTCTTCTCTCAAACTTTTGCATCTTCTTTGATTGGAGCACCACTGCAGCCATTATGTTACGCATGATTGTTGCATCTCTGCTTTGGTTGCCAGCAGTTTTTTTTCTTTTAATCAAACTATTTAACCTCTTTAATCCAATTGCAGTTGGACCCTTGGCAATTTGTTCCTTCAAGTCAGTATCTTCTTCATTAGGGCAATCAATCTGTGCTGCTTCAGACTCCTTTTCGTGAACATTCCCATTTTCTTCTTTACTCCCTTCCACAGAAACATTTCTTTTCTGTTTTGCTGGCCCATGTTTCAAAGTAAGACGACTTGTTCTGAGAGGCTTATTGACCTTGTTTGCATACAAAGCATTTATCAATGGATTCTTAAGCTCGTCTTCAGTTGGTGCCATTTTCTTATATTCAAACTGCAGTACATAAGAGAAATTATGCATACAATAAGTTAGTGCACATCATAAAGCATGAATTAAAATTACATATAATACAGACATTAAAAAGAAATTTACCTCTTCATTCAGAAATATGACATCTGCTAGTGTTGCAACATTAGTTTTCTTTGGTGCAGATCACTTCAGCAATCTAGGAAACAAATCTTTCCTTTCTTCCTCTAACTGGCAAACATGTGTCGTTCTAAGAGCTGGGAAACTTTCAAATGCCCATATTTGCAATGCAAAGACAAAACCTGGAAATGTGAATCTGTCTTTTGTGGCCCTTTTAATATTTTCTGTCCACTTAGGCACTTTTTCCAATAAATCTTCCCAGATTTCATCTCCCCAAGGGTACTGGTTCACTAAATCAAGATTATCTACCATGTTGATGTAGATTGCTGGGCATTTCACTGTCTTTTGGTTTCCAATTATGTAATTGGAAATCAAGTCAAGAATAGCCAGTTTTACCCTATCTAAGGGCTGCTTCTCTACAGGTATATTATCGAACTCCTCAAAAGCTCTGCTTATGTCAGCCCTTGTAACATTACTTCTTCCATTGAAAAACCTTCTCCAAATGTCACCCATTACATTTGTCGGTATTATTGGTTTCTCTCCTCCCATCTTGAACCCCGTTATTAATGCCAGTTGTTCCTTTCTAAAAGCCACCAACCTATTTCCTATATTAAAGTAAATTCGGTCTTTCCAAGTCTTCTTGTTAACCTTTTTGGCATGGTTTTCTACCAGCAGAACAAGCAGTTGTCCATTCATCCACTCTAGGTTACCTATTCCCAGCCATCCACCAAATATGCTTTTTCTGAATTCTTCAAGTTGGTCCTCCTTTAATAGCTTCCTTATGGTTTCAATGGCAGTATGTACATTTGAATAACATTTTTACTTTAACTTCTTCTTGGTCATAAGAACAGGGTTTGTGCAAGATTCAACAATTGCCTGACATTTTAGTATTAATAATTTCTATAAGTACTATAATCATAAGGCATAATTGCACAACAATACTCAATTTATAAATTTGAATTTACTGTCTTATAGCACAACTCATATATCGTGTAATCTAACATCAAATGCTTCATACCTTAAGTCATATGAAATAAATGATATGTTAATTGTTGAAAGCATGTATGGACAAAATCAAACAAGGTATAAAATATTTAGTATTTACTTGAACTGAAATACTGACTATTTACTTGAACTCAAATAACACATCTGACATCAACATTACTCTATGAATATTTGATTCATCATTTCAGATAAACATTACTTCTACTTTGTTTGTAAACAACATATGTCAATATAGTTGTTTACGAAATTTATATTACTTATCTCAAATGAAGTCATTGAATACATTACCCGACCAAATGGAAGTATAAATTCTTTATCCTTCTCCGTTTTGCTGGGACTTGGCATCTTTGTGTCGAAGTCGCTTTCAGAGTTTTCTTCGTTTTCTACATTTTCAACGTCTGCCTCATTGTCGGCTTTCTTTCTCTTTGCCATTACTGCCTAAATTTGCTTTCAGAGCTTTCGTTTGGTCGGAATGCTTTCCGTTGGTCGTCAAAACTTGCTCGCTGTTCGTCCGTAGTACGCCATTTGTGTAGTCGGTTGAAGCTTTCTGCAAATTTGGAGACGTTAAATGAAATGGGGCTTGCGGTTTTGAGTTGGGCTCGCGGTTTGTAGTCGGGCCTGCGGTGTGAAAGGAGTCCTCTGGTCCATTTGGGAATTTAAAAGTAAGGGTTAAATGGTCATATTAGCTCAACTTAAGTCCTACGTGTAGATGTAGTCCTATTTTTAGAAATTTCCTATGTTTATGTCCTATTTGTAAAATTTTCCCCATTTCCTACTAACATGTGTATGATACAAGGAAACATGAGCCACGTAGATGATATAGCTACTTAATTGTTGTAATTATACAAGATGATCAACTGACTTTATATTTTCTTTTTTATTAACACTTAAATTTAAATATGAATATATACATAGAGAGAGGAAAGATCGATCAACTGACTTTATATTTTATTTTTGAATAATACTTTAATTAAAATAAGAATTATATATACATATACAGGGGTGGGGGGGAGGGGGGTCAAAGCCTATATCATACAGCCTGTGGTTCTACGGTCTGGTGGAATTTTTGTATTCTTAGTTGGAAATTACGACTTTATTAAGAGTGTACTTTGAGTATCGTGATCTCTGCTCAATATCATTTCCAATGTTTTATCTGCCCCACGGGAGGCAGCAATTAGCCATTCAAATAAGGAAACTTACAGTTCAGAACACGTTTGCAGCTGCTAGCAACGTGGACAAGGCAATTACTAGTGATCTGGCTCTGAAGTAGCGTGAGGTCGATCATGTACTATTTCGTGGATGAAGTCATGGAGCACGAGTGATAATGTTGTATTTTTATTATGTACTATTTTACTTTTAATTAGATTTATTGTTTGTGGTTAGAGAAATTACATACTTTGGGTGTAATTAGTTTATTTTCCTAGATATATGTAATAAGTTTAGATTAGGATTATTCTGAGCTTAAAAGGGGTCAAGATGGGACCCCAAAAGATCAAGGAAAGTGCAAGGCGACAAGATAAAAAGAAGATTGAAAAAATATTTCATATACCTATTCGGGTATAGGCAATACCTGTTCGGATATTGAGTTTATTCAGGTGTCAAAATCAGAATCTTGAGAGACCATAAAACGTGCAGGATTTTGAAGATTTAGCTCATACCCGACCGAGTATGCCGACATACCCGACCGGGTATGTCCTGATAAGTAAATTCCGGGAGACTGCCTAAAATACCCGATCAGTGCTCTATACAGCCGGTCGGGTACATAACCCTGCCACCTCCAAACACCTATAAATACACCCCTTTTCCTTCACAATAAAATCACCAATTCTCATATACCTCTAAGCTCAGTTTAGAAAAGTACTTCCTTTATATTTTCTAGTATGTTTAGTCTCCAAATGAAGATCTAAACTCTTCCATCTTGGTTTTGCTACGTTGAAGCTTAATGATTTATAAGTTGTGAGTTATTTTTTTTTTAATTATTTTCCTTGAATATTAATTAATTACATTCCTATTCATATTTCATATTAATGTTTTGAACATTACTTAAAGGATCAACTAGTTTTGTTTCATATATTAATTATTGCTAGAATCGGTCGACGAATACGCTTGTTAATCGTTCGGTCCCTTCACGGTAGTAAACTTGGATTATTAATGCATGCATCTCATGGTTAATAATCTAAGGGGAATTAATTATATTGATTAAACCAATAAACCGCTTGTGTTGAGGTTATTAATCTCCATCGTTTTCATCTTAAGTTTTATTGCTACTATCGGGTCAATATACGATGCATGTTCTATATTGACTTAATAGTAACTTTTATTAATGAACGTGTCTCGTTATTAATAATGACCCTCGATGAATTGGAGATACTCCTCGATTGAGTATTCGAGAGGAAGATAGTTAAAGCTATTACCGGGATCGACGAACATTTCATTACGTGAATATAAGCGAAGCCAAGTTCTCATCTCTAATTAAATAAATCACATAAGTCATTGATCTTTTAGTGTTTAAATATTCTTAAAGACCAAGAACAATCTAAATAAAACTTTTGTTACTAGTTACATAAAAGAGAAGTGTTCCTTTACCTGTGG